TCAAGATATTTTTGTCTGTGCAGCTGAGCAGGATTTAAATTAATGAGAGACTTGCTACTACTGAAGGTGTCAATGCTCACCCTCCTCGGAGCACCTTGCTTGGATGCCATTCCTTGCCTGGTCCCTGGGTGAGAGCAGCCCTCGGGTGCAGCAGGAGGCAGGATGGGGTTTGCCAATCCCATGGGAGCATTCAGGAGCCAGAAGCTGGACTGTGGGGGCACGTAGGGCAAGCGCAGTGCCTGCCACACTGCCACACGCACACACCTCGTGGGAAGGTGACAAAGTGGGCATCTGGAGCCCGGAGATCTCTCCAGAAGAGTGCCAGAGCCAGCATTTAGGTCCCCTGGGGCTACTACAGCAGGGATGGTAAAATCTTAGTCTCTAGACATGGAGTCCAGCCATGTGTCCAGCCAGCAGAATTCAGATCACACGTGTGCCTCTGGGCTGTTTTACCATCAGTTCCTGAAGCTTGAAGCGGGGGCAGTACCCCAAGGATGCCAGCCAGCCCCACTCACAGGTCAGGGCTGAGGTATGCGGGATCTCAGGGAGCCAAATCGGGGTGTGGGAAACAAATAATCCAGCCCGAGTCCCCGTGGAGAGCAGAACACGATGCAAATCACCCTCCAAAGCACCCATCAGAGCAGCAGCATTATCACCTCTGAGATAGTTTGACAGCTGCAAATCACCTGAATAAAACAGTTTTCAAGCTTTTGGTCCGGGTTTGGTTTGATGAGCAGTCCTCTGTGTCATCTGCCAGCCGGTGAGGCGACCCCAGTGTGAGCTGGGAGAGGAAAGTCTCTGGGGAGGGTGTGACAATACACCTGTGACAATACAGGTGTCCTCTCTCCTGCTTCAAACAAGCCAGCGAGCTGCTGGCCAGGGCTCTGCGGCTGGAAAGAGCTCCCACAGAAGTTATTCCTGTGAAAGCAGCGTAGTCACGGCACTGGCCTCGCAGCCCGGCACAAGTGAAGGGCTCAGGGAAGGTGGAAGGGAGAAGGGCACGGCGTGGCTGGAGCCCAGCGATTAGGTTGCACCATCCTGTGTCAGGAGAGAGGGCCGGGGACAGGCAGGGGAGGGGGGACATGCCAAGGGCTGCCTGCCACGAAGGAAGGGAAGGAAAGGAAGGAGAGGAAGGAAAGGAGGGAGAGGAAGGTCACAAAATCCTCGCAGGATCAGTTTCAGAGATGTTTTACGTACCATTTCCATGGAGGACAGGTTCAGCCCAGATGTTCACAGAGCTGCAAGGCCCAGTGTGGTAAATGGGTATAACCAAGGGCACGATCTTGCCCTTGGGGCTCTTTGTTCCTGCCTGGGGGCAGTCTCCTGCAGGCACAGGGAACCTGCTGCAGCACTGCTCCTGCCTTTCCATCCAGCAGCTCCTTATGGGGTCATGTCAGGGAGCAGCTGGTCCTGGGGTGCTGCAGGTGGTCAACCTGGTTGGGCTGAAGAACACTCACATCTGCTCTTCTTCCTCATGCTTTTCAGCCTCAGCTGTTGTCTTGCTGTCTCTTTTGACTTTGGTTTTAGCCAAACCTTTTTGGTTTTGGTTTTGGTTTTCCCTCTCTTTGGAAAAGCAGATCAAACCCTCTTGTGATGCAGCCAGCAGCCCTTGTTTGGTGTTTTCCTGCCAGGAGACTGAGACCCTTAAAACACCTGCCTTTTTTGTGCCATGGTATCAGCCATGATATGAATCAACCTCAATGGGATTGACACCGGAGTGTGTTCCCATTCCCAGCTTTTCTTGGTCAAGTTTCTGTGAGAGGAAAGAAGTAGTATAAAAACCGGTGAGTGGCTTTGCTAGCAGACACTCACACCATGGAATGAAGCTCCTGAGCCTCTACCAAGAGCTTTTTTTTAAAAAAAAATGAAGTTGGCAGAAACAGATAAATCCTTTTAGAGGCATTAGGACATGATAATATTTATTGATCAGCGTGCACCAACCCTGATTTATGCACTCTGGTACATTTTGCCAGTTGAGTCAAGCGTGATAATAAACATCACGTCCAGCAAGTGGATTAATAATGGAGATGTGATATGAGGGAAATTGGAACACTGAGGGAAATTGGAACAGTGTGGTATCTTCAGAGAGAAAGCAGGATGGCTGGTACATAATTTAAACCCAAAGTGAGGTGTTCTACCACAGACAAAAGGCCAGCAGCTCTCTACTCTGCACAGTAATGGCCTAGCAGGTCTCTGCTTCAGCTTTCTGCCCATTTCAAGAATCCCTAAGGGCAACTTCCTTGTAACTACAGCTGGCAGAAGGGAGACCTGGAAACATTTGGGTACATGGAAATTGTTTGTCCCTTTCTGTAGGAGCCTGAGATTGCAAAAGCTTTCTTTGGCCCAATCCCAAAGTTAGAGAGTATTGAATTAATCATCACTGCCAAACTGAGTTGGATGCTATTGTAAAGTGTCATGCTGATTGTATCAAATTGTTTTAATTTCTATCACATTTAAATAGATTTAACCATATTCAAAATTAAAATGCTGTTTCAAAATGAGTTCTTGTTTTGGGTTGGAGGGAAAATGTTTGCATAGAAAATGTCAAATTTGTAAAATTTTTGTGTATTTTTAATTCACCTCACCGTATCTCCTTTTAGTTTCAATACTCATTAAAGGTCACTTCTTCCTGCCAGAACCCCTGTTTGAAAGAAATGCAAGAAAGCCCCGAATCACTGGAAAATCCCAAAGTAACTCCATCAATTACAGCAATGGACAAATTTCATAGCTACTAATAAGAACCCAGAGCTGCAATGCTGTGGTCAGTAAGAGCTGCCAGTTCAGGTGGTTCTGATTCGGGTATGAGATCAAGTTACAAATGCCCAGTGTTTGACTGCCCCCATCCCTCTGTTTACATTTATTTACAAACATTTGTTTCTTGTCAGACCGATGTTACCATTCAAGGCCATAAAGTGGAATTTTTTCCTGAAGGAAGGGAAGCAGCTGCAGCATTTCCCAGCTCTGGTGTAGCATGAGACAAAATGCTCAGTGCTTCACACTTCACCCACTGTGGGGTAGGGAGGTAAATAAAGCAGAGAGGACACCCTAAACCAAACTGACCACTGTGTTCCTACACAAATAAAGGTCATTGTAAGCCTTTTGTTCCTCCTTTGGTCCTTAAGGATATTTGCTGTGTCACAGCACTTCATGACTCTTCAGATGTGAATTACTCTTTACTTGGAGGCTATTTGGAAGTAAAATACATTTAGGACTATAAACGTAGATGTGAAAGTCCATTTTCAAAAAACATGCCTGGCTCATTATTGTTATCAATCTGTATTGTGATATCGGCTTTCACAAGTATTAAGATGAATATTATATGTTAAATACTTTTTGGCTATGTATGTACTTTTTTTTCTTCCTAACAAGTTTTAAGCTTAAAGGAATCTCCTAGGCACAAAGCAAGGAAACCCCAGAGGGCAAAGACAGTGGGGCCCAAGCTGTTATCAGCGGAAGAACAATAGAGCCCAAGCTGTTATCTGAAGCCAGGACCAGGCCTTGGCAGCAGGGGGGAAAGATATGAAGCCCAGCTGCCCTCAAAGGAAGGATGAGGGGCCGGGACTGTTATCAACACTGACCATTTGCAGAAGAAAGGAAACCAGACCCAAAATAATGCTCATCAGCAAGAATAATGATGACCAGCAAAAATAGTGCTGACCAGCAGAAATAGAAATCATACAGAGCATGTTCTAAATAGGCAGAACCAGGGAGAGGACATGCTAAATACTTCTTGAAAAAGTTTGAATATGCATCAAACCCTCACAGCAGGAGGGGATAAAAAGAATGTTCCCAAGATACCAGGTGTGTTCCTGGCAACGCTCCAGGGCACCCGGCCGTTTTAACCCTTTGCTTTATTTCCTTTGTCTCCTAATTTCCTAATTTATTTCCTTTCTCTTTTTGTTTACATTAAACTTTTTATAATTTATTAAGTGAATCTCATTTTTAACATTATTGTTGCAGGGCTGCTCTTCTAAGGTGCTAATGCAAAAAAAAAAAAAAAAGATGATCTAGTCTGAGTGCTGGAGCTTTGGGGAGTTGGACATTTTCATTTAAATGTTTCCTCTTGAAGGAGGTGAACCATTTTGATATGAAACCTGTACCAGTATGAAAGGTGTGGCTGTCTGAGATTTCTGAGCCACCAAAACTAGTTTGTGAAACAGGCAAAAATCCTCAGGTAGAGGAATAGGCATGGGTACATTGCATGCTCATCAGCTGGATCACAACAATATCATTTAACAGAGGTTTTTTTCCTACTTTGTGTGTTGCAAGGGGTTTCATGCTTGTCTGGGTGACTTCCAGCAGACCTGTCTTGTTTTCCTGTTGGTGGTATTCCTCCTTATTTCCACTTAGGTCTGCTCTGGTTTGGCTGGGCAGAGCTCCAGACTCCGGAGCCAGAGCCCAGAGCCCAAATCTCAAGGATTAGCAGATGATCAAGCACTGACCTTGCCAGGTACTAGAGGTGCTGTATGAGCCAAAAATCCCACAACACTTACTCAAAGCAGAAACTGCTCATCCCCAGGGAAATTTATTCTGCTCTGGGATGGGGCATGAGAGCAGGATCAACAAACCCACCAAAACACCAGGGAAAAACAGGTCCACGGAAGATTTTCACTCCCCCTGAGACAACCAATGCCAGCACACAGCACTTACCAAGTTTAGAGTAAGTATTTAACCAGTGAAATAGAGTCCTTTTGTTCACACACAGAATTGCCAATGTTTACTGAGGTTTTCCAGGTTTCCAGCAGGCTGTGGGTGGCTGAGTTAATTATGGAACATTTTCTGCAACTCATCCTCAAAGCTTAATGGTCTTTCAACAGCCCCAACGTCCTTCCCGGGCATTGTGTCAGGTTTAATTTTGTTTGAATTCCATTTGAAAAGCAGAATTGGTAGCACGGGTGTAATATTTGCCATTACCTCTAATCATTCATCCTTAGCCACCCCTGGACTGATAAGGAAGCAAGGAGCGGGCAGGAAAACCAGAGTGGTTTTCCTTGGTAGCCATGGAGTCGGTAAACATGGCAGGACTGTGGGCTCTTATTCCTGACCAGTGCCTAAGGTGTGTGTCCACCTGCCAACAGGCAGGGCTGCCTTAAGCCCAGAGGAGGAGGGAAAACACCCTTGCCTACAGTAGCAGGGTCGGATTCAGGATTAATCACACTGCCACGATCGGGAAGTGCAGACAGGGAAGACAGGCACTCGCTTTTCCTGGCTGAAGAGCCTGGAGCAGGTGCAGCCTTCGGGCTGGTGGAGGAGACTCCTGCTGAGGGGACCGTGGCTGTGCCCTGCCCGGTGACATAGCAATGTCCATGTTTTCCCTGAAGCTGCCCGGGGCTCACCTGCCACAGGCAGCTCCTCCAAGAGCTGCGGCAGTCAGGAGCCTCCATCAGTGCTGCTCAGTTTTGCTTTCCCTGGCTCCAGAGAGAAAATAACAGCCAATCTGCAGTAGGTTAACCAAAATAAAATGAACCTAAAATTAAAGCTAAAGGCAGCAGAGCTGTGCACATGTTAGTGGTGTTTTGGGGATGGTCAGCTGGAGAGGCTGCTCTTGTGAGTGCTGTGCAAAGGTGAAGTCCAGAGGATCTTTCCCAAGCTGTGGTTTTCATTTCCAAGGGAAGCACAGAAACTCACACTCTCTCCAGGTTTCCATCAAGTGAGTTGAATGTGGCAAATGCCAGGATGAGCAGGGGCTGCAGCTCTGATTTTGTCTCTGATGGAACACCTGGCCCTGGGACCAGTGACAGTGGGAACTTCCCTGCAATCATCAGCACTGACAGCCCAGATCTCCCCCCTTGGAGCCATCCCTTGCTGTGGGCAGAGCTCCTGTGCCAGACTCTTTCCAGGCCTTGTACTCTGAGTAAAGACACCTAAAAAAGAGCAGCTCCAGCTCTTTCCAGAGTGGGTGAGCTGGGAATACTCCCAGTGTGGGTAGCAGGCAGCTGCAGCATGACCAGGCTGGTCTCTCCTGGTACATTCTCCCCCTGTCCTCCCTGCACCCTAAACACTTCCAGGGCTGCTCTTCTCCAGCCAGAAACACCACAGGTACTGGGCAAAGCCTCTCCTGTGTTTTACAGTCCTTCTGCTCTGTTCAGCTCCAGGGCCAGCGCTGTGGCCAGGTGTCGCTCACTGCCTGTGGCTGATGCTCCTGCCCAGGGCACAGCCACCCTCCTGCTCCTACAGCTGGAAAAGGCCCTGTCAGCACCCCTGGGGAGGGAGAACCATCCAAAAACCACAGTGCTGCTGCACAGGTAACCACAAGAGCACCAGGATGAACAACGCCACAGAGTCCCGCAGGGAAGGGAGGTATAGCAGCGAGGCTTTGCCGAGGGCAGGGCACAGGATCCGTGAGCTGCCCTCACACACACAGGTCACCTGCTGCCAGCCCCTTCTTCACCCTGCAGGGAGCTGCAGACCCCTGGGAAGCAGCTCCCAACAGAGCAGGGAATTAAAGCAAACAGGAGCTGACCTGGGGCAGCCTCTCAACATTCCAGGCTGCATACCATGACAGTTCCAAAGGGGCTTCCCAGTGCTCTCCCTGGAGTGGCTGCCAGCATGCCAGGAGTGGGAGACAGTGCTCTCAGCTGTCAGAGTCACTGTGCTCAGAGATGCCCTTACATGCTCCACTAATCTGTAAAAATAACAGTGGAGACCCCTCCTGCACTCCTGGGGCCTCGAGGACACCTGAGACATTTCAGGGACAGGGACATCTTTGTCTGCTGTTAGTGTCCAAATTTTGTACACTAAGGATTTATCTCAGGTTCTGATGGCTCAGTGCTAGATGCAGGTTTGTGTCCTGGCCACAAGGTCTAGAGGTGTGATTTCAGCCACCCCGAGGCATTGACTTGTTTCCCCCTAGTGGCTACCTTCTATTTTTTCCCCCAATAACTCAACCAATCAATAGGATTATCACAGTACAAAATAATATATGCTTGGATTTGCACAACATATTTGGATAATCTGGCTAGGGTTTGGCCTGTGTGCCCTGAGCTCCTGTGGTCAGCACAAAACTGCTGCACACCTGCATGATGCACCTGGCTAATTCTGCTTGTTCTTTTCCACTCCAGAACCCAGCTCTCCTTATTGCTCCAACAGGATTCTGTGGGGTAACACCACCCACAGGAGTCTGCTCAGGGAGTTGGTCTGGTTGCTCCATACCCCTCTGATCCTGCAAGAGCACCTCCTCCTCAGCATCCCTGTGTGTCCAGAGGGTATCCCAGGTGCAGGGACAGGACATTTCCTTGCACACATCTTGGTCCTGCACAGGGTGCTGCCCCTCAGCCCTTCCCACAGCTCCCAGCTCTGCAGCTCCAGCTGTCCCCCCTGTCCCACCCTGCAGGAAAGTCACGGGGCTCCTGGGGAACGCAGCCAAGGAGTTCCATGGCATGCCACAGGTGATCCTGCCTGTCCTGCCACAGGAGGCAGATCACTTCACCTGTACAACTTAATGGCAGCTAATCATGGCATGGTCCACTGGCTGCTTGGTCAGGCTGCCCCTTCCAAAGGCCTTGGAAAAACACAGGGTGTTTGGAACAGCAGTGGTGACTTCAAATGCCTGCCTTGCAGAGCTTTTTGTGGTGAAACAAGTGTGAGAAATAAAAAAAAAACACAAGCAGAACCCCAATGTAACAAGGAACAACAGCAAAACTTTCAGCTTCTTAATCCTAAAATACCTCCCCCACTTTTAAGAAAGAGCATTTTTTTCTGAAGAAAAATTAAGGAGGGGCTGAGGGACAAAAAGGCAGAAAAGGAAAGCCACTGACTCCTGTGTACCTGAGAGTTTTTTCCCAGGATGTGGATTTTGAGGGTTGCTGGGTCTCAGCCTGGGAATCACAACAAAATGCAGGGAATTGGCTCTTCCTGCTTCGTTCTGAGAGTGGGGAATTATTTTAAGGTCACTTGCATGGCTTGTAGGTCCCGTTTTCTTCTCTCTTCTAATGGTGCCATGGCACCTCACCCAGGAACATGAGACCATCTGGAAAATATCATCCAGTGCATTATTCCCTGTGCCAGAGGGATATCTATAGATAAAGTAAATCATGTTGTCACGATCCAAACAAATAAGGAGAGGCTGTAAGGCACTGGAATGTTTCCTCCCTTATCTCTGTGCATGGCTTTGCCCCAGGAGGGACCACAGGGATCTTTAAAGTCCCTTCCAACCCAAACCATTCTATGATTCCAAGATCCTTCCAAATTCATCCAGTTTTGGAGAGCAGGTGGGAGCAGTCGAACCAGTCCCTCACAGGACCAGGTTCCCCCTAAGTCCCTTGCCCAAACCTGCTCCATAAAACTCTATAATGCCCAAAAGGGTGTCTGTTTTTGGCACAAAATAAGATCATTTCAAAGGAGTTTCTTACAAGAAGAGAAACCCTTCCCCTCAGCTGAGCAGCTCAGGTTATTTTCACTGTTTGGATCTAACCCACTGAACAAAATACTGCCTTTGCCTTTGGAAAGGAAAATCCATTGGGCAAGTTCAGGCCAGCTCTCATTACAGGCTTCTTAAATTTATTCATGGAAAATTAAATATTCTCTTTAAATAGGAAGATAGGTACATATATGTGTCTCCAAAGTGGTTTCAGGCTCCTAATTTGTAAACTAATGGACACAATTCACTTTGCAGCACTACCTAGAGTGGCTCCAGGGTGTGATGTTATTATGGTCATGGAAACTAAATGAAGAGCACGTGGCTGACCTTTCCCAGCTCAGGTCTGTCTTCCCAAAGGAAGTGTATAGAATACCAACCATCTGGTTTATCTTGCATTTCCTTTCCACTGGAGGTTTATCTCATCATTCCCAGGAGTGTAGGAAATCCTGTTGCAACACAGCCTCTTCTTGTCCACTGGACCCGTGCTGGAATCACAGAATAGAACATTCCCAGCTGGAAGGGATCCACATGGATCCTCAAATCCAATTGAGGGAGGGAAGTATTGGGTTTGGGGCCCTTGGGATGTGGCACTTTGCAAATGACAGAGAAACAGTGATGAGCCCCAAGCTGGGGGACATAAAGCGGGTAGCAGAGAGGAGAGGTGGGAGAAATGTTCCCCAACAGTTTTGAAGTTTAAGCAGGCAGCAGAGTTCTATAATATGGATGTCCTCATGTTTGTTTGTGGCTTTTTTGGGTTTTTTTGTTCCTCTGTATTTTGCACTACTCTTCCAGAGCAGGGCAGTACCTTCAACTGGAGAATAACAAAACAGTTGTTAGTACTTCATCTTCTAAAACTGGGCCTGCACCTTTCATGTGCTTTGGGCTGACTGTTCAGATACAGCAGTTTGTGGACTGTCAGAAGGAGGATGTTGGAATTGAGAAGAAAGGATTTACTCCTTGGTATTCAGTTGTCTGCAGTTAAGAAAAGGAGAAGCAATTATGAGCAATTCCAGTGCCTGACCAGCACACAAAGCCAGCCCATCTCCCTGGGATCCACATTCTGTTCTCCTGACCCATAGCTAGGTGTCAGATTCAAGAAGCTGGAGTCTTTGTTCTTTTTGGCAAAAACCTGGACTTACCATAGGCACATCCAGCACTTTGTATTTCTGCTGGGTGATGAAATGACAAAAGATTCTGCAGGATCTTGTATGTAGCTCCATCTTCTCCTTCTCTGCAAATGAACTTGGTCCAGGCTCAATGTATGGATGCAGGAAGATGCAGGGGAGCAAGGAAGAGCTGACACCAAATGTGTCCAGTAGATCCCACCACTTCCAGGAGGTACTTGGCACAAATTCAAGCATTATGCTGTGTGCTCAGAATTCTAGTTTTCTCTCTTTTGAGTCTTGCAGTCCTGAAATGGAGCACCTTCCCTACAACCAGCATGGAACACACCTGTAGCTCCAGTCATCTTTCTCCTAGGGAACCAGAGTGTGGTCATGGCATTTGTGTGCTGCAGTCTCACAGCCTTGACAGATTTTGGGCCCTGGAGGCTCTTTCCACGTTCTCCAAATAGATGGAAAAGCAAGAATTCATGTATTTTGATGATGGTTAAATACAGCTTTCTGATACTATGTAAATAATTTTGATGCTTAGTCTGTGAGTTACAGACATTTGTAAAAAACTTCAGCGTTTCATTCCAGCAATCCTATCAATCTGAAAGCATGTGCATTTCAAAACAGGTCTTCTGTGTGGTAGCTACATTAAAAATTAAAACTACTGTGTTCTGCCTTATCTAGCCTGTTTTTTTTCCCTGTGGTTTAGTTCTATTCAGTCGAGTTTAGTCTGATTTTTAAAAGACTATTGTAGAGCTTCAGTGTTTCAGGCTGCATGGTATCAAGAAATACTTTATTAGACAGGACTACTCTTTGGAACTTCAGTCATTGGAACATTCTTCTCAGTCCTAGCTTTTAACAGCTTGTTTCTATGAAATGTAAATTTCTACCACTGGGATTTAGCATGCTTTATTTGTTCAGCATATGAACCATAGGTACCAGCTCAGTGAATAAACAACAATTTTCTCTGTAGTTTTTTCCACCTTCTTGAATCTTACTGCATTTTAGTCTTTAATTCCAGCTAATTTTTCTTTTTAAACAAACAAACAAACAAACAAACAAACAGCAGGCAAAACAACATTTCTTTGTGGGGCACATTTAGAATTTATCCATGTTATCAGAGTTGTGGGCATGTGTCAGTTTCTACAGGAGAAAAGATCCAGTTTTGTCCTCAAGATGACATCGATTTACTTGAATGGGACCGAGTAAATTTCCTTTCTGAATCCCTCTAAAAAAAAATGATGTCCTGTGAAGCTGGGTTAGCCCAGGCTTAGACATCAGCCTGCAGTTCACAGGATGGCCATACTGTACAGGAATCACCAGGGTGTGTTTCACAGCTAGAGCAGGCAGAGGCCCACATATTTTTCTTTCCTTTTTCCTTCCTCTCCTTTTTCCTTTGTCCTGCACCATGACATTATTTCTTTGTCCATCTCACTGTCCTTTTGCCTGTACCTGTCTGCATCTGCTGATCAGTCCTTCTCCCTCACTGCACTCTTCTCTTTATAACCCTCTGTCGTGTTGCCCATCCCTCTCTCTCCATCCCCTCACACCCACTTGCCATAGACATTTTCTCCCTCTGTCCTTGTTTCCCTCTTTGTCTCTCTATCCCTCTGTCTTTCCTGAGTGTTTACCACTCTTCTTATTTGTCCTTCTCCATGCCTCACTTACGTTCCTTTTTATTCCCTGTTGCTCTGTCCTGCTCCCTGTGCAGTTGTTTCTCACTGGATCCTTCTGTCCTGTTTCCTGTTCCCTGTCCCTATTCTTTTTTAATCCCTCTCTGTTGTGCTGCCCATCCCAGTTGTTTTTATTTCACCACCATCCTGCACCCCATTCTTCCTTTTCCTCTTCTGTCCTCTCTACTCCCACCCCCGGTTTCTGCCTCTCCTCCTCGTCTCTCCCGGTGCTCCCATCCCGCTGCTGGATAGCTCCGTGAACTCAGATTGGGATCCCGCTGCTGCCCTCTGGCCATGGGGCAGCCCCCAGCCTGTGACACTGAAACTGGACTTCAAGGTCCCTCCCACCCCAGGCCACTCCATGACCCATGGAAACACTGCAGTATCTCCATGTGAACGGAGCAAAGTTTATAAATATAGGGATGTTTTGATAACACTCAGGTTTTGTTGACATTTCTATTAATGATTGTTAAATCATGTGGGGAGATAATAGGACAGGAAAATGGAGTTCATCCACACACTTATTTTTAAAATTTATTTTTTTTTTATGCTTATGCACATGCTTATCGTGTTTATATAGATATGTGTATTATTATACATATGTTTATGAAACACAATCTTTATGAATCTGCCAGGCTCTGGGGAGATTTACATCCTCAGAAAATGATGATTCAAATACACATCATGGTATGCATTATTGTAGTGTGGGGTGTTACTGAGTATTACCTAAATGGGTGCTTAAAGTGAGATACCTGCTCTTACACCTTGTTCAAAGAGGGCCTAATTCTAGGAAATAAAACTGTCTATCCCACATGAGTTACAATTTTCTCCAGTGTTGTGGTGTCGTCCTTTGGTTTAATAAGAGTAAGTTTTCTTGTGGTAGTGATTTAAAGAAAACAACTGCAAACTATTGGCATAATTTAGCTCCACTTTACAGCATTTTTGAGTTGTCATCTTTTGATATGGTCTTATTCTCTCTGAGCAAATTTTATAACAATTTCAGTAGCTGTTTTTACAGTATTGAACACTTTTTTTCTTGATTCCTGTCAACAGTGACTTCTCTCCTCCTGTACCATCCCATGTGATGTTTTATGTGGTGTGGGCTGGTTTGGATTTTTTAAAGAAAATATTTATGGCCATTTTTGTCCACACTGTCTCTGCCTTTTACTAACATTTTCCAATTAATTAAATCTTAAGTTCATACATTTGTGAAATATACATAGTTATGCACAGAAAAAAAAGGAATTATCTTTGTAACCTGAGAATTGTTTCATGTTAAATCCCTCTTGCTCTTCATAATTACCACGTCTTTCACCTTCAGCACATGACCTTTTAGCACCTTATTTTTAGATATCTTTTTATCTGCTTCGTTTCTTTTAATATCAATATAATCTTACAAAACCTGCCCAGAATCTACTGTATTACTGTGCTTGTGAAACTCTTGTGCATGTAACAATGGACTCATTTTGTCAGTAAAACCTTATTCCTATAAAAACATTTGGCACTGGCCACAAATTCAAAAGCCCCAAATCAAGAAGCGCTTTTCATTGCCCAGCTCTCTGCCTTTCCCCACATTTCAGTGATTATTGAAGAGCACCAGCAGATGGGGCTGAAATGCTGCCTCCTGGAGCACTTCCAGCACACAGAGTGAAGATGAAGAGAGGTGGGAAATGCTGAGTTTGAGCACCAGGTTAACTCCTGCTGTCCGGTGAATTTTTCAGAAGCGGATGCGCTGCTGCAGGAGGAGGCAGGAGGCAGAGAAGAGGCACCCAGAGCTGTTGATTTGCAGCAGCTGCTGCCCCTGGGGGGTGTGTACCACATCCATGC